CACACACACACACACACACACACACACACGCACCAGCCCACGCATTCCCCTTCATCCTGTTTTTAAAGTCACTTTGGAAAAATCGGAGACCAAAAGACAGACTTGCTTTAACTTTTTGGTCCAGCAGGTTTTGCACTGGTTGCTATCTGTTTGGAAGTTTGGTTATTAACTGGAATTTGTTCATTCCCCCCCCCCCCCCCCCCCCACCCCCTTCCCTTCCTCGCTGGCTGTGGGACGCTCCGCTTCCTCCGCACTTGGTGGGAACGGGAAGCAGGGGGATTGTTCCTGAGCTGACTGAGGTTTAATCATTGATGAACAGAGAGAGAGGACAAACATGGCCTCCAGCCCGACACACACGCGCGCGCGCACACACACAAGTCTATGTATGAATACGAGTATCCTGCAGATTCAATGTGAGGAGTCACGTGCTCTGATTTATTCCAGGTAAACTATTGATGAGCAGCTGAAAGTTCGTGCAGTTTTTGCAGGTGTGGCATGAAACAGTTTTCTTCACCAATAACAACAAAATTGTAAAGTACAAATGGGAAACTTGCCAACAAGTTCTTGTTACAAACTCAAAGGACGTTTTGTTATAAAGACACGTCCTGCAGAGGATCAGTTACATATGAATCCTCTAATCTGGATTAAATTTGTGTCCTTCAGGAAATTAAAGGTAGCGCTGCTGCAGGAGGTGCAGCCTCACATGGAGTAAATAAAAACTGAATGACCTTCATCCACTCTGACCTGATGAAGTCCACAGACCCAAAACAAGATTTAAGAATATTCTCTGTATTCAGATTTTATAAACCAGTCAGCTTTTTTATTTTATTTTTATTTTTATTTATCAATATTTCATTGTTGTTAAGATGAGTAAACAAAAACCATACTGGATGCTAAGATACTACAAATCTATTTTAATGCATTGTCACCTCTGCTTCCTCTTGATCTATTCCTATTCTGTGAGCATTTGAGAATTTCCCTGTAATAATTTATGTTACTATATTATTATTTATAGGTAATTCAGCTCAATCAGTTTTATTAATAAAGTGCCAATAAACAAACAAACCCAAAATGTAAACTATAAATAATACAAATAAATAATTGTAATTTGTTCAAAACCAGTTTGAAATCAATTCAGTCTGAACTAATACATGCAGTTATTATTATTATTATTATTAGTATAATAATAATAATAATAATAATAATAATGTACAGTAGTCTCGAGCTCTTTTGGTAAGGAGACAGTGTAATCCCTCAGCTTTCTTCTTTCATACTTTCATTTATTTATTTATCTATGTGTGTGTGTGTGTGTGTGTGTGTGTGTGTGTGTGTGTGTGTGTGTGTGTGTGAGGCGCACGGAGGGTAAAACTTCTCAGATTTAGTAAAGTTTAATGCGGACTCTGAACCTTTTTATAGTCTCGTTTGGTTTCACAGTTTTCGAGGAATTCTTCCTGACAGCTTCTCATAAAACTCACAAGTCAGGGGCAGTTTTTTTTTTTTTTTCAACCAGGACTCAGTGAGTTTCAGAGTATCAGAGTTGCAGAAAGTCTTTTTACCACCCATCAAGTCTTTAAAGCGCATCTTCTCCGCGCGCTGTGGAGGGGCACGGCGGTGGTCTCCCACGACTTTCCAAGCTGATAATTAGCCCACAGTTATCATCTCGTTTTCCAGAAAGGATCAGCGCGCTAGGCTAGCAGTAGAGTAAACACGCACGAGCTGAAAAAAAAAAAAAAAAACTTGCCCTGGAATGTGAGAAACTTCAGACATCATCCACAGGAGCAGGGAGAGTCCGACTTTACGGGTTTATGACTCTTCTCTGCCTTTGTGTGTGTGCGTGTCTGTGCACGCGCGCGTGTTTGTGACAGAAAGAGAAATCGGAACTTTTATGGCTTTATGACTCCTTGTAAAGAGGTGAAGATCCGCTGCAAACAGCGGATGGACAAATGTTCTCGCCACCGCGTGAGGAATGTGCACGCACACGCGAGTCTTGTACAGCTTTATAGAAGCATCTAGTCTGTTATTGAATAGTGATCATTTCTGACTCTGAAGAATGCCCAGAATTATTTTAGGAGCCTTAAACAAAACTTACCTTGTTTAGAACGCGTGCACCTTCGAGTTATCCAAGACGCACTAAGATTTTTTTAAAATATTGTTTTGTGCCACAATTACAAAAAATACAATAACAATAATATGATTCCAAGAGCAGAATGTACTTTTTTCTCTAACTATAAAAATACAATAATATTAATACTAAAGATAATAACAGATAATTAAGAGCTATTTGTTATAGATATATAATAATAGAACAAAGTGTTGGTGACGGCTCTGCTCTCTGGTTAATGAGAAGCTCACAGGAAGAGTCCAGCTCGTGCTCTTTCACTACATGACCATTTCCCAGCAGCGCGAGGCGGCTGACCGCCTCTGAGCGCGCGCTCCGGATCACCACACCGGACAAGCAGCGCCCAGAGCGGCTTCAGAAGGATCCGTGGTTAAATGTTAACGCGCCATCAATGCGCACACACGAACACGGCCATTTGCTTTTTCTACGAATCTCCACACAGATTCTAAGAGGAGAGGGAAGACAACAGAGAGTCCGCGTTACAGAGGAACACCACCGCCATTATTATTAATAATAATGTTAATAATAACAACAATAACAATAACAACATCTTATTTTGAGTGTCTGCTGTGAACAGTTCGATATTCTCTTGTCTCCTGTGTATGTGCGCGCGCAGCGGCGCAGCTAAGCATCAACTTAAATTTCTAAAGCACCTTAAACCGCTGCAGGACCGAAGTGTTAAACAAAATAAATTAAAAAAGCAATATATATGTATACACTATCATATAAAATTATATACCTAAATAAATTATAAATTGTAAAATTAAATAATATTTGTAAAAATAAAACAAATTAAAAACAAAATGACGGTCATATGTGGTAAAAGTGGATAAAATATTCCAAAGCTTGAAACAGCATTCAAATGAAACAAAACAACAAACAAATTCAAACAAACTAAATATCCACAGTTTGCTTCGTGCACGTCCCACAAGTTTCAGGCTCTGAACCACTGCTTGAAGCAAAACCGAGAAAAAAAAAAAAAAA